GTCTTTCTCAGAAAGTGATTGATGATATACTCCACCCATATGCGAGAAACACACAGGAAAAAAGATAAGTGTCCGGGAAACAGTGGCTCCAATGCGGGAGAAAGGTGAGGGAAACTCCCAAGCTGATGGCAAGAGGAGGACTCAGGATGACAGCTGGGCAGAGCTCAGTCTAGATGGGCATAGCAGGGCCGAGGGCTCCAGGACGGAGGTCTCCCAGAAAATAGGAGAATTCACACATTATCGACTCCATGCAACCAGGAATGCCTGCATCATTGGCAGGGCCCTGTGTAAAATGAACATGAAGAGGCAAGTCTTCTTGTTCAAAAATTATGAAGAATTTCAAGGTCATGAAAGCAGAGTAATAAAGCAAGTGGGGGCACTTTTCTGAGAACAGCGTCCCATGTCACTGTCTGGGTCACATGCCCAGGAAGTCAGTCCTGCGTGTTGATCGTGTAAAAACTGTCCTGATAGCTGTTTTTATCGGCAAGCTAAGAGAAATCAATTCTAGTTGACTTAAGGAGAAAGGGAATTTATTAGAAGGATATTAGGTGGCCCATAAACTCCCAGGAAGGTCAGAGAATTTTGTTCCTAGCTATCCAACTAGAAGCAAGTCCTTAAATCAGGATGTAAGCTGGTACAGTGAGGGTGACCTGCTGCTGTCCTGGAGGACCAGGCATGGCAGCTGGCCGAGCTGACACTGCTAAGTCCCTGGGCATGGTTCATTGCCACTGCCTTGCACTGCTGCCCTCCTGTCCCCGCAACTTCTTCTACCAAAAAAGCTCCTTGCATTTTCTGCCTCTCCAGTTATGCGTTATCTATTCAAAGTCTTAGATGGGTACATCTGGTGAGTGGAACGCACACCAAGTGCCCATGCCCTAGCTGCAAGAGCCTGGGAAAGCGAGCATCTAGAATCTTCCTCTTCTATGGTGGAGCTCTGCTTCCCACAAGTCTCATGAGGGGGAATTCCCCAAATGCAGGGTGGGTTCAAGATTTGTCATTGCAGAAGAATGACAAACATCCACTGTAGCGTTATGGAAAGAATTAGTGATACACAGCTTAAACACACACACACACACACACACACACACACACACACACACACACACACCCCAAAACGAAGAAATGAAAAAAAAAAAAGAGACAAACAGAAATGCAGACAAAAATAAAACAAAAAGTTGTTCAAAAAAGAGCACATATTGAGATATCTGACTCATCAGCATTCTACATTTGCATAGTTTGGATAATGTAAAAAACTGAAAATTTAACCAAAAATTTTCATATTTATCACATTGTCAAGTTGTAAGGGGGACAGTCAGGGTTGTTGATGATTTAAGAAAGCTACAAGGGGGCTGGCCAAGTGGCGCATGGGTTGGGAGCTGGCTTGGGACGCCAGAGGGCCCCAGTTCGGATCCCACATATGAGGGCCAGTGACACTGCCCTCTATAGCTAAGATGCTGAACGGCAGCTCAACCTGGAGCTGGGCTGCCATGAGTCGCGGACAAAAGCATAGGCTGCAGCCTCTGCTGCAGTGGGTTGCCATGGACAACTGTGTGTAGCCAGCAGCCAGCGTGAGTGGCCAGTAGCCGCCGCGAGCGGCCATCCAGAAGCTGGCGACTGATCTGCCTTGCCCGGGAAGAGCGCAATGATGGTGCCAACTTGGGCCAGTGAAGCACCGTCCTCCAGAATTAGACTGAAGAACAAAACGACAGCAACTTGTCTGTTCCCCTTCCCCCAATTCCTCAGCGTTGTTCCCATCCCCCCAATTCCCCAATAAAAATCTTAAAAAGAAAAAAAGGAAAGCTACAACGTCATCTGCTGAAATAGGAAGTTAACAGAGCCAAAAATGGAGAAATAAAAAACTTGAAGTAAATTCATATTGACAAATATGGACATAAATGCTAAAAGAAGCTGCTAAAACATTGAAAATGGTCCTCTGAGGAATAAGCCTGGAGAGTGAGGAGAGGCGAGGTAGGGGAGCTGCATTTTTGTTGCCGTTTCTTTTTGTTATACGCCTTTTGGTGTTTGTTTTGGTCAGGATCTGTTATGCTATGCTGCAGTAACAAATAAACCCTGAAAAATCTCAGTGGCTTAACTCAACAGGTTTTTGTTTCTGTTTTCTCATTCATACTGAGTCCAGTGTGGGTTGGGCAGCCTCCTTCAATCTTACAGTCCCATCATCTAGAACAAGGTCATTGAAAAAGGAAGAAATGGTGGCAAGGTGTGATATTTGGAAGGGCCAGGCCTGGAAACAGCCTACACTATTTCCACCCACATTCCAATACCCATAACTCGGTCACTTGGGCCCCAGATAATCCTAAAATGAGAAATGTGGTCTTCCCTGAAAGAGACATAGCATTGTCTTTGCCACAATACCGTTTTTTTTTTAAATTGATGACTTTAATATTTAGAGCAGTTTTAGGTTGACAGATGAACTGAACAGAAAGTACAGAGTTTTTTATATCGCCTGTCCCCCCAGCACACACATAACTTCCTCTATTTTTTTTTTAAGATTTTTATTGGAGAATTGGGGGATGAGAACAGCGCTGGGGAATTGGGGGAAGGAGAACAGACAAGTTGCTGTCATTTTGTTCTTCAGTCTAGTTGTGGAGGACGTTGCTTCACTGGCCCAAGTTGGCACCATCATTGCGCTCTTCCCGGGCGAGGAAGATCAGTTGCCGGCTTCTGCCCGCTCACGCTGGCTGCCGGCTACACACGGTAGCCCATGGCAACCCACTGCAGCAGAGGCTGCAGCCTATGCCTTCGCAGGCGACTCATGGCAGCCCAGCTTCAAGTTGAGCTGTTGTTCAGCATCTTAGATGTGGAGGGCAGTGTCACTGGCCCTCATATGTGGGATCCGAACTGGGGCCCTCTGGCATCCCAAGCCAGCTCTTAACCAATGCGCCACTCGGCCGGCCCACTTCCTCTATTTTTAATATCTTGAATTGGTGTGGTACATTTGTTATAAACTGATGAATCAATATTGATATGTTACTATTAACTAGAGTCCGTAGTTTACAGCAGGGTTCACTCATTGTATTGTACATTCTGTGGTTTTTAACAAGTGCATAATGTCATGTATCCACTATTACAGTATCTTACAGAATAGATTCATTGCCTTAAATATTCCTTGTGCTTCATCTAGCTACGTCTCTCCACCCCCAAGCTCCCTAACTGCTGGCAATCACTGATCTTTTAACTGTCTCTGCAGTTTTGCCTTTTCCAGAATGTCCCATAGTTGAAATCACACAGTAAGCGAGCAGCCTCTTCAGAAAGACTCCTTTCATTCAGCAATATACATTTAAGGTGCCTCCGTGTCTTTCTGTGGCTTGATAGCTCATTTTCTTTTAGCCTGAATAATATTCCATTGTCTGGATGCACCACTGTTTATCCAGTCACCTATGGAGGGACACTTTGGTGGCTTCCAAGTTTCAGCAATTATGAATAAAGCTGCTATAAACATTCATGTACAAGTTTTTGTGTGGACATAAGTTTTCAACTCATTTCAGCAAATACAAATGCCACTGTAGGAATGCAATTGCTGAATCTTTTGGTAACCCTATGTTTAGCTTTGTTGGAAACTGCTAAACTGTCTTTCCAAGTAGCTGTGCCATTTTGAATTCCCTCTAGCGATTCATGGGACTTCCTGTTGCTCCACATCCAGCATTTGGTGTTATCAGTGTTTAGGATTTTAGCTATTTTAATAGATGTGTAGTGGTGTCTCATTGTGGTTTTAATTTGCAATTCTTAATGATACATCATATTGGGCTTTTCACATGCTTATTTGCCACGTGCATATCTTCTTTGGTGAGATGTCTGTTCAGATCTTTTGCCCACTTTTAAATTGGGTTGCTTGTTTTCTGATGGTTGAGTTTTAAGAGTTCTTTGGATGTTTTAGAGATAGCCCTTTATCAGATACATGTTTGCAAATATTTTCTCCCAGTCTGTGGCTAAAAATGTTGAATTTTAAGAGTTGGGGATACCTTGGAAGGGTACCTGAAATGCTGATGGGATGTGCTGAGGCACTCTGCCATCAGACAAAATATTTTAAGTGTATTAATCTCTGTTCCCTTGTTCCTCAAAAGTTGATGGTCTTACAGAAAACAATAAGTGTTGGCAAGGATTGTGGAGAAATTGGAACTCTTGTGCCCTGTTGATGGGAATGGAAGATGGTGCAGCCGCTGTGGAAAACAGTATTGAGGTTCCTCAAAAAATTAAAAATAGAATTACCATATGATCCAGCAATTCCAAAATAACTGAAAGCAGGATCTCAAAGAGATATTTGCACACCTATGCTCATTGCAGCATTATTCATAATAGCCAAGATATGGAAGCAACCCAAATGTCCATAGACAAATAAATGAATTTTTTATAAATGTGGTATATACATACAATAGAATATTATTCACACATGACAACATGGAGGAACCTTAAGGAAATTACGCTAAGTGAAATAAACCCGTCACAGAAAGACAGCTATTGTATGATTCTACTTAGGTGAGGTATCTAGAGTAGTCAAATTCATAGAAACAGAAAGTAGAATGGTGGTTGCTAGGGGCTGAGGGAAGGGGGAAATGAGGAGTTGTTTAGTGGGTATAGCGTTTCGGTTTTGCAAGATTAAAAAGTTCTAGAGATCTGTTGCACAACAATGTGAATATATTTAACGCTACTGAACTTTACACTTAAAATGATTAAGATAATACATTTTATGTTATGTGGTTTTTACTACAATATTTAAAAGGTTAATGATCTTTCCATAATGGACCAGAAGGATGAACTAGAAGGCTTTTCAGGTCCCTCCCATTAGACTCTATTAGAAATCTGTCTGTAAGCAAATCCTTAAACATGCTTGTTATCACTATTTAAATTTTAAATCTTTTAAGTGTCTTAAAGGGGTTTTTTTGGAAAAAAAAAAAAAAAAAGGTTATTCTGTAGTGAGAGTGACCAACTTTAATGTATCAGATTTGAAAAGTTAATTTTTTATTTCTTGTTTTTTTTTTAAGGACATCAAAAGTATGTAGCATTTCCTGGAATTAAAAAAAAGTTTCAGTTTTCTGAGCCCAAACAAAAGGCAGGTATTCAATTACCACTTATTAGGTAAGTAAAGTATTAGAACCAGCCATGTTGCCTGAGCAATTAGTTTGTTTGCAATCTTAAAGGCAGGATCAATTATATATCAAAAGTGTTTCCCTGTTTGCTTTGCCAACCAGGAAGCGTGGGACAAGATTTGCAGTACATCTCTAACATCTACACAGGACTTTAGGCAATATGTGTTTACGCAACTTTGGGCTCTAATTTGCCTGTGAACTCATCAGACTTATTCCTTCCCTGAATTTTTACTTAGCTCCAGCTTCATCACTTAAAAAAAAAAAGCCCTTTGCACAGCACACATTTAGTAAATCCTCTTTGGACCATAGGAAAGTACATAAATAAATAAAACACAAATAAGTCATGTGAACTGAGCACTTTACAGACCTGGTCTTATGTTGTCACGAATCTCCAAACATCTAATCCATTACTTCCAAAGACAAATAAAACCCTAGGGCCACATGACATCTCGTGAAGCAGAAGGAAGCAGCAAAGCATTAGGGGTGAACTCATCGACTAATATTTTTCATATCTCTTGGTAAACAGGAAACACACAGCTCTCACAGCCAAGTGGCTGATGGGGGGCAGAGGTGGGAAGGAAGGCTGGGCCTGCAAATGAAGTGGTTCTCAGGGCAGTTATTGTTCACCCTAGACCCAACTGAAGAAACCAGCAACCTTCTAGGAAAGAGGTAGGAAGTTAAAACTAGGCAGGAGTAAACTCTTCAACACGTGGATGCATCATAAATCAAGACGACACTAATGACGTCTCCTAGTGGGAATGTGCTTTGAGCTGTTTCTCCAGCAGTAGAAATGAGGGGTTTTGAGCTATCCCCACGCTCTCTTCTTGTTTTCTTTTCTAAGAGCCACAATAGAATGAAATGAAATTGAGTACGTGCTCATCAGCTAGGGCCCTTGGTGGCAAGCCACAGAAACCGACTGCGCCTTGAGCGAAACCAAAATTGATTAGATGGGTGTTATAGACTGAATGTTGGTGGGTCCCTGCGCCCTCCACCAATTCATAAGTTGAAGCCTTCCCCCGCAATGTGATGGTATTTGGAGATGGGGCCTTTGGGAGGTAATTAGGGTTAGATACGGTCCTGAGGGTGGGATCCTCACAATAGGATTAGTGCCCTTGTAAGGGGGAGACACCGGAGAGCTAGTTCCTCCTCCTCCCCTCCCCAGGACATACAAAGAAGAGGTCACGTGAGCACACAGCAAGATGGCGGCTGCCTACAAGCCAATACGAGAGGCCTCAGAATGAAATCCATTTTGCAGGCACTCCCCTTGTCTCTCCGATCTTACCTCCTACCATTCTTCCCCTCACTCACCCTGTCCAGCCACACCAGCCTCCTGGCTGTTCCTCCAAGAACACAAACATCCTTGTGCCTGAAGGCCTTCCCTCTGCCTAGAACTCTGCTCCCCCAGAGCTGCCTGGCTCCTTCCTTCAAGCCCTTCAATCTTTGCCCAAACGTCTTCTCCACAGACCACCTTTTGACCTTCTATCTCCCCGCCCTGCATTATCTTTCATCGCAGCATGTCTCACCAGCAGACATGTTAAACATGTCTGTTTAATTGTTCAGTGTCAGTGCCTCGTCTTAGAGGGTAAACTCCACCAGAGCTGCTACATCACTGTGAACTCTGCCTGAAGTGATGGGGCAGGCACTGCATGAAAAATTGCTCAGTGGGAGAATCCTGACCCAGGAAGGGCACTGCTTCACTCAAACCCTGGGAAACTCAGGACCCCGGAGCCCCTGGAGCATGAAAATGGACCTTTTCCCCCACCGTCAGTAGGTTGATCTTAAATTCCCTCGCTTTAGGAGGAATCTCCAGAGGGTAAAACTAAAAGCTGAAAGCACTGACCTTTTAACCCCCAAATGCCTCAAGAGCAGGGAAGGGGTGCTAGTCCCAGAGCAGGGACAAAAAGATGTTCTATTTCTTATCCCCATCACCCTGCTTTATTTTTCTTCGTAGTATTCATCACTATTTGAAATGGAGCTAAAGCTCCATCTTGCCACTTGGCTGTTCCTACAGTTTATGTCTGTTCTTTCTCGAACTTTCTCCATCTGATTTTCCTTTGGGGACACCGGCCCTTCCCCACTCTTAGTCCCTATGACTTGGAGGGCATAACTCTCACCTGAGCCAGTCTACTGTATCCCCCTGGCTGTAGGGACTGCTTTGAACATGGCCAAGTGACCCCATTCAGACAAAAAGAATCAGGACCAATTCAAGTCCATGGGGATGCTGGGGACATAGAACATCTTCTTCCTGCTGGTTTTAAGTGAGAACAGGATGTACGCCTGGAGCCCCCAGTGCCAGTGCCACAAGTTAGGAAGAGCCTTCCTGTATAAAGTTCCATTACGAAGAGACAGAGAGGGGCTGGTCCTGATACTATTGAGCTCCTGGATTCAGCCACACCTGAAGTCAGTGGGCTTTTTTTCAGATATATGATGTCTAAGCCAGTTTGAGTTGGATGTTACTTGCTGCCAAGGGATCTTTACTTTTTCATTCACTCTTTTGTCTCAACTCACTATTCATCCATCCCCTCTGACTCTTCTGTTAGTGGGAGCTCCATAACTAGGTTAGACAGCGAACTCTGAAATAGGATACAAAAGCACTTCCTGCTCAAAGCCCAAGCAACTGGATGAAGATGGGGAAAAGTCAGTTCATTTTCTCCATGTTTTCAAACATTTGGATGCTTGCCAACATGAAGACAGAACTTCTAGCTTTTTATCTGGTCATTTGGGAGCTCTGTTAAGGCCAAAGGGCCTGATTCTCAGACTCTCCTTGGAACTGTAGGACTTATTAGCATTTGACTAAAGTTTTACAAATGTGCAGAATTGAGGGAGAAGGACCCTGAATATATTTGCTGAAATATTTGTACAACTTCCCCTTAATCTGCTTAAATGGTGTCATTGTTTTTAGAGCATTTTGGGCTACTTTCCTTTTCAGAGTTAAAAGAACAGAGGTAAACACATATCTAGACTGTATCTTCCTTACTTTTAAAAAATATTTAAACTTCGTCATTTTTTTTTCTTATTGAAGTGATAAATGTCTTAGAAAAATAAAACTTTATAGAAATATATAAAGGAGGGTATATAAATTTCTCCATAAGCTGACTCTCTAGAAATGACCACAAATTACAGTTTGGTGGGTATCCTAGTATGTAATGATACATAAAGTTCTTATACATAAATGGATTGTATCATACATGTCACTCATGACTTTTTTTCTTTTATACATCATGGACAACTCACCATGTCTTTATATAGAGCTATCTTAAAATGCTGTATCATATTTCATTGTGTGAAGGGCAACGTATGAGGTCAGACAATTAAATTTGCTAACTCACCCTAGAAAAAGTGCTATATACCTCATTGCTGAATATCACTACAGTCACCTTCGAAGTACTCCCCTTAGGAAGCTATGCACTGACGCCAGCCCCTAGTCCACCCTTCTAAGCAATTTTGGAACTCTTTTTCTGGAATGGCCATCAGAACTGTCATCCTATTATGCTTGATGTCCTGAATGTTGTCAAAATGTCTTCCTTTCAATATTTCCTTTATCTTTGGGTAAAGAAAGAAGTCATTGGGGGCCAGATCAGGGGAGTAGGGATGGTATTCCAATACAGTGATTTGTTTACTGGCTAAAAACTCCCTCACAGACAGTGCCGTGTGAGCTGGTGCATTGTCGTGATGCAAGAGCCATGAATTGTTGGTGAAAAGTT